TACGTTTTTAAGGTCATATCCGAAAGACCCGTGACTTTCACTTCTAGTGCCGAGCGCTTGGCGAAGGAACAGTCACTACCTATGTTTACGTCTTAGGTATGACGCGGCGCCGCGATCGAGAATCGAACCCGGGCCTCCCGATCACGAAGCGAACGCTCTACTACTAGGCTACCGTGACCGGTTTATGTGGTTGTGAGATAAAAAACAAGATGTGTTTGTTAAACACTGATGCCCCCGTATTGCAACATAGCAAAGATTAAACTTTTCTTAAATGGTACCAAAAGTAGAGTATTCTCACTTGAAATACAGTTGTGAAATATGAAAGGAGGCCAAGGTTAAATTTTTATTCAGAAGTACGAAAATTTTCAAGATCAAGGTCATTGGTATCCTATGAAATGTCTTGCCAAAAAAAATACAAATGTAAAGTATGTAATCCCCAATCGTTCAGAAGTTATTGCGAAGTCCCTGGCATGTAAAAAAAACCTTCTTAAAACATTTCCTGTGCCCGTTTTTCACCCAAACACCACAAATTATATTTAACTATCCATCAATTAAACACAACTTTGCTCGACCAGGATTGACATATGCAGTGTATGACGTCAGAGCAAATGGCTCAACATCGGCGATCAAAATATGCAAATCGAAAAAATCAAACTTAGAATCGTTGAAACACCCAAAACATACATGTTCTGAGGGAAAAAATGATAGATGATTTAAATATCATATAAGCTTTGTTATATCAAAAAATGATGAAACATGATAAAAACCCATTAAAGTTTTTTCATATTACAAAAATCTCCAAGGTCACGGAAATTGGTATCCAATTAGAGGTTTTCCCACATAGAATATATATGATGTATGGATGCTCTAGTCCAAACCAGTCAGAAGTTATGGCCAAGGTTAAAGATTTTTAAAAGTAAATTAAACTTCAAGGTCAAAGGCTCAAAGGTCTTGATATCAATTGAAAGGTCTTGTCACCAGGATTAAATATGTAAAGTATGAAAGTTCTAGTCCTAACCCTTTAAAAGTTATGGTTTAGATTTCCTTTTTAAATTAGGTAAAATTCCATAGTCCAAGGGTCAAGGTTCTTGGTATCCAATGAAAGGTCTTTTCACAGCAATTACACAAAATTATGTTAAGTTTAATTTGAAAGCCCTACCCTTTACCATTCAAAAGTTATGGTCAGGGTTATTGTTTTTTCACAAGTACGGAAACCTCCAAGGTCAAGGTTGTTGGTATCAAATGAACGATCTTTTAACAAGGAATACAAATGTGAAGTATAAATGGCCTGGTATCTACTGTTCTAAACGTATGCTAGAGTTAAAGTTTAAATTTTTGTGTAAAAGTGGGTCAAACTCCAAGAAAAGATCAAAAAGGTCAAATTTGGTGGTACCATAGAAAAAAAGGAAGCTGGTGAATCTTCGACGATGTTTATGTGCATATTGAAGCCTCCTGCTCGCATTTTCCTGTACATTCGCAGTTACATTCGTAGTCTAGCTGTTCTGCTTTTGTACAAACTACGGACAAACACTCAGAAAAAAAGAGAAAGGATCTGTCCAATATCGTGTGATCATGACAAACCTACTAAAATATTTTATCCTTTTGAAGGGACAAAATGTGTATGGTAAAATAGTCGGTAAGAGTGGTAAATGTTAATCACATTAAAAAAAAGCAATATTAATCTTCATTAGTTAACCATCCCGTGATTTCATAGAGGTGTACCGTTATATCATTGCATTTTCCACTAGGAATAGGATAATACAAGATGTGTTTGTAAAACACAGATGCCCCCGTATGGCAACAAAATGAAGGTTAACCTTTCTCAAATGCAGATAAAATATGTTGGTACCTAAGGTGAGGCCTTTTCATAAGAAATGCAAACGTGAAAAATAAAAACCTTAGGCTAGAACCACATGTTCAAAGGTTATGACCAAGGTAAACGTTTTTAAAGGCAGGACAAACTCCGGGGTCAAGATCAAAAGGTCAAGGTTGTTGGTTAATAAAATGAGTTCTTGTGTCACAGATTACAAATGGGAAGTATGAAATGGCCGGCCCTTACCATTCAAAAATTAGGGCCAAGGTTAAAGTTTGTAAAAAGTGGGATAAACTCCAAGGTAAGGTCAAATGGTCAAAGTTTTTGATATCCAATTAAAGGCCTTCTCACAAGGAGTACATAGGTGAAGTATGAAAGCCCTAGCTCTTACCGTTCAAAAGTAATGTTTTTACGTAAGTACAGAAATCTCCAAGGTCAAAATGTCAAAATTGTTGATTTAAAATGAAAGGTGTTGCCACAAAAAAATGATATTTAAAACATGAAATTCCTATTATGTATCGTTTAAAGATTAGGGCCAAAGTAAAAGTTTGGATTTTTTTGTAAAAATGTGCGAAACTCCAAAGTCAAGGTCAAAGGGTCAAGGTTCTTGATATCAAATGAAAAATTTTGTCACAAGGATTGAATATGTAAAGATGAAAGCCTAAGTCCAAACCCTTCAATAATTATGGTCAAGGTTGTATTTTAAAAGTAGGTCGATCTCCAAGGTCAAGGTTAAAGGTCTTGGTATCCAATAAAGCGTCTTATCACAAGATTTACATATGTGAGGTATGAAAGCCCTATAGCTAGCCCTCTCTGTTCAAAAGTTATGGCTAAGGTAAAAGATTTTTTATAAGTATGGATATCTCAAAGGTCAAGATCAAAAGGTCAAAGCTACTGGTATTCAATAAAAGGTCTTACCACGAAAATTACATATATAAAAAATAAAAGTTCTGATGTTGATTGTTCAAAAGATATGGCCAAAGTAAAAGATTTTTTTAAAATTGTGCAAAAGTGTGTAAAACTCCGAGGTAAAGGTCAAAAGGTCAAATTTGGTGGTGCCCAAAGGAAGGTCTTATCATATGAAATACATATGTGAAACATGAAAGTAATAGCTTCCCTACGTTAAAAGTTACGGTCAGGGTAAAGTATTTGCGGACAAACAGACAAACAAACAGCCAGACAGACAGGTAGACAGACGGACGGACAGCGGTCAAACAGGCAAACAGACAGGCAGCGAAGAATAATGCCCCCGTAAACCGAAGTTTAGGGGGTATTTAATTTATGTCGTGTCCGCCCGCCCGTGTTCTTATTGTCTCTCTATCTGTCTGTTTGTCCGCAAAAAACTTTAACCTTGCCAATAAATTTTGATTTAGTGGAGCTATGACTTTCATATTTCACATGTGTATTCTTGTGACAAGGCCTTTCTTTGGGTAACACCAAATTTGATCTTTTGACCTTGGACTTTGACCCACTTTTACACAAGAATTCCAAACCTTCACTTCGGTCATATCTTTTGAGTAGCAAATTATACCAAGACTTTAATACTTCATATATGTATTTCTTGTGGAAAGACCTTTCATTGAGTACCATCAATTTTGACATTTTGACCTAGACCTTGGAGTTTTTTGTTCTCTCATGCAAAAACTTAAACATATTATTTGACGTGGCGTAACCTTCATGTAAAGTGGTGAGATCATTATATATTGTGGTAAGATCATTATATTCATTGAAAACTTCATTATATGCATTGGTTTTATCACTATTATTCAATAAAAACTTTATCATATGCAGTGGTTTCATCAATATATTCAGTGATAAAATTATTCTTTAAAAAAAACTTTATTATATGCAGTAGTTTTATCATTATATACAGTCATGACATCACCACTTTTCAAAACATGAAAATGACCTTCAGGCAGATATGGCGTTCCATACACTTTCATGACATATTTGGCATAAATATAAGGAAATACATAAACAGTTCAATAGGTGTCGGTCATGATTACAATGCATCATTCATGTTATTATTTGATTTGCACCGAATGAATAATTATTTGATTCTATTGTTTCTGAATATTTCTGCAAAAAAGAAAGATATTTATTTACTGAGGTAAAATGTCTTACTAGTTTTGGATAATAAATGTAGGAAACAGTTAACTTTAACAGTTCATTTAGGTTTCACAAACATTCAGTTACCAGTTTACTATAAACAGATTCATGAGAAAAAAAAATTGGATAATGGTCGGTTTTAGAAAAAAACAGATGAATATATATATATTTTTAATTTTATTGCCAGATATGTCATGAAGTTTTTGTTATTGGCAAGGTTCTAATCTAAAGAATCTCTGCCCTCTTTTAAACAAGATAAATTTTCCTGGAGTCAGTGCTCCAGAACATCAAAAGGCCTCTATTTTTTTGTTTCTATCACAGAAGAGCTTCCAAGAGAGGCAGTTCATGACAATAAAAGATGGGAAAAGTACCTTTCAGTATGATAAAAACTCTTTTCAATTTAAGCCCACTTAAGAATTCTTCACAATTTCAATTATGTTAATATAAACAGTAATATTGTTTGAGAATAGCATCAGATGTTTATTTTCTGTTGTACATTTTGTAGATTTGAGAATTCAGTCACTGAAACAGGTTCATAAATAGGTTACGATCATGTAGGAAAACAATGACAATAGAAAATAAAAAGTTTAATTTCTGTTCACCTGCCAATAAAATATAAAATATAAATATAAAAAACGATTCTCTTGACCTATATTACAAGGGGAGTTTGTACGCCTATGCCTTGCCTGTTGCCCAATCCATATAATATTATTCGATAAAATATGTTTAAAGTAAAATATAAAATGCTATTGTTTTTTTAAATAATTTTAATCAATTTTATAATTATTTATTTATCTTTATTTGATGTGCTATGGAAAAGTACTACAAATGACCGAATCTGCCTTTTTCTAGAGCGTGTATTTTAACTTATTTAAATCTGGTTACCATACATACGATTTTGCTAATCGACATTATAAAATTTTACCAGAAATGAAAAAAAATTAAAAATTTATTCATGCAAAAATAAAAAAAATAAATCTATAGTTCCCATCAATTACACAGAGTAAGTTTGATGATTCCTGGCAATGGTCTCTTAAACATCTCTAGAGTTGTAAAACAGCTTTATCCAACTTTTCATTTATTGATAACCTGTTTGCATATATTTGATTTTCTTCACATTACCAGGTGACCAGTTAGCAACAAAGAGGTTATCTCTAATGTCCACACATAAGCCATTTGGAATGAATAGATCACAGTTATCAATGTAACGAAGGAACTGACCATCCTGATCTAATATATGGATACATGCATTGTCAGCGTCTGATATTAGGATTTGATTCTGACTGTCTGTTGTGATGCCCCATGGCTCAAATGATTTCTTGTCAGTAGAGGGATGACCAGTGTATCTAAATCTAAGGTTTCCTGTCTGATTAACCACCACTACTGCACTGGCCCCAATGTCGGATACACAGATATCTAGGTTTCTGTTCTCACACATGTATTTCATGGCATCTGATGAATACAGAGGTTTTCCTTCACTATCAAACTGAATGGTTTGTTTCTCTGTGGAGCCAGAGTAACGGACGACTTTTGATTGTGAATTATCATCACTGTTCATGGTAACAAGTAGGTCACCAGAGGAGGTACTACAGACAGATAGAGGTCTCCAGCCCACTAGTCTAATCACTTCAGATATATGATTATCCCTGACTATGTTAACAGTTCTTGTGTAATCGTCAATATATACTAGATCATCACTCCTTGTCACTGCTATACCACGTGCAAAGATATCCGTTTTTGTTTGGATTAACTTCAGTACTTCACCCTGAAGGTTGTAGAGTCTAATCAAATAATCTCCACCACAAGTCCAAACTTCCTCATCACTGAGGCAGGCAACACCGCTTCGCATCCCCGTGTCTATGGTGGTGATGAGCTCTGGTTCAGCAAGAAAAGATTTGGCTGGTGTTTTCAATATGAGGCGCTGTTCGTCTGTGGACGACAGAGATCCAAATATTTTATAGAGCTGTTCTGAGATGATCTGAAAAGGAGAGAATTTTGGTAATGTAACATTGACTTTAGGAGGTAAACTTCGGAATTCAGCATTTCTGGTTTTGTATGCAGAGGTAAGAGAGATATCACTGGAGTCCAATATTTTCTTCAGATCAAGAATACTCTTTTCTAGTTCAGAAATGTTCTTTTTTATTTCATTTTCCTGCTCATCAAGGGCTATCAGGAGTTTTTTTTTCAAATCACCAATTTCAGATTTTTGTTTGTCGACAACGCTGTTTATTTCTTTGTGCCAGTATTCTCCTTGCGTGGTAACAGCCGTTATCAGTCTCTTGTAATGTTTTTCCAAAAATAGTTTTTCAGCTTTGATATCTAATGCAATTTTTTTGTAAGAGGGGCATATATTTTCTTCAAGTTCTTTTAAATCCCTTTTTAAACTTTTTGTTTTTGAGCTGGATTTCTGTAAGATATCTGTTATTTTATGCTCGTGATGTTTTTCAGAGGAGATACAAGAAGAACATACAGCAATGTCACATTCATCACAGTAAAATTTACATTGATCCTGAGAGTGGATTTGACATTTTGGATAGTCAGAAACTCTATATCTGTATGGGACAATTATGTGGTGTTTGAATTTATCGGAAAGATGTTCCTTTACACAGGCCTTACACAGGCTAATCTGACAAAATTCACAATGACTCTGTAATGCGGCTTTTTGACACAGGTCACAGAGGAGGAGTACCTGAGCTCTGTCCAGGGGATCCATTACTGTAAAAATAAAGAAAATTATATTGGTGCATAGGACAAACCGGTACAACATTATAAATTACTTGAATGAATGGTATATAGCATGCCATCAAAGGATAAAAATACAATCACAGTGTAGTACTTTCATACCATAACATGCTTAAAGATGATAAGTAAAGAACAAAATCCACGAATGGGTAAAATCAGCCTTAAAAGTATATTTTTCAGGAAAGGAGATGGGTGAACTTAGCGTGCAGAAAACCAACTAGCTTCGGATATATAAAAATCATATTCAGATTGTGTATTTAGTATTTAGAGTAAAGTTCTCTTCATTGGTTTTAATGAAATCATGATAAAAAAAAGTTTTGGGGAAACATTTTCATTAAAATTTATTCTTAATATAAAAAAAAAAAAAATATTTGGTATATCCATTGGGTTCGAGCCCGGTAATAAAAATCCTGATGTGCATTATGTATTGAGACTAGCAAGCTAACCACTACGCTACACATGTCCTGGTGAAGTGTGGCATTTAAATCATGTTTGTGATATGACAATTGACTTAATGGACTTCAAGTATAGAGAATATACAAGTATTAATTCGTAATAAAAGTTTTCAATATATAAGATACGAAAGTTATGTCATAAAATTATATTTTCATTTGAAATGGAAAAGGTATAGTGGGTCTGACGTTACGGCGCTGAGAGCAGTTCATGTTTTAATTTTGGAAACCAAAATATGTATGTTTGTATGCTAACTTTGAGGATTAACTTTCAAAAAATTGAGAGAAGACCCACTCATATCAAAAAATAGTACCTAAAGTATGAAAAAATGACTCGTTTTGTCCTTTGTCGTGTGTATAATATTTCATAGGCCAATAACTTCAATCTTCATGAGATTTGTGCAGGTTGTAGAGTTTTACATAAAGTGTACTTTAATGTTAGATGAAATATCAAGGAAAGTTTTGATATACTTGAAATTTTATTTTGCACCTGCATGCATATGTTTGTTGCGCTATGGGCTTATCTTCCAACATGTTCACCCATCTCCTTTGAATTGAAGTAACAAAAAAAAAAACAGTAAATATACTATCTACCACAGAGTCGGACATATCTGCTTCGTATTTGGATTTTACTTGAAAAACGTTACTGGTAATCTAACAACATGCTCTTACATAAATATAATGCCTTTAACTTTAACTTATTCTTTAACTTTAACTCTTATGTACAATTTCTAAAACGAAGTAAAGTACTGACAAATAAGTAGATAAAACAAGAATATCCTCATTTCGTAAGTTCTATTGTCGTTACAATGACCTTGGCAGCTAATACAATTTATCATAAAGTCAAATGCTGACTGACGTTTTTCATACTAATTGTTAGTTGATTATTTATAAACTGAATTGATGACAGATTTTTCCTTTCAAGTTCATAGAAATGTATGTTTTATTCCCGATTATGTTCATTTTCAAAAGTTTTTGGAGCACTTTTTTGCCTGTCATTGGTGTGACCGCTTGACGATGAAATGTTCAGCTTCTTGGCGATATGATTTGCGGTTACTCTGCCCTCTCTGTCGATAACACATTTCCTCTGATGTTTTGAAGGTCCTGAATGTTTAATATTTTCTCTGCATCCCTCCTATTTTGAATTGTTTTATGTGACATGAGTTGTTTGAAAATTTATTATTTTATATTTTAGAAAACACTATTTGGTATACGACCTGATGTTCAAAATGACCTTTCGATATGATTCAATTGACATCTATTATGTACATATATATTATTTTACAATTGAAAACATATTTATTAAGGTCATTGATGTAGCAACACATATAAAGAATTAATTATTGAAGGTCCGTGTTTTCCGCTCCTATTTCGTTTTATTTTAGGCAATGGTAATCTCCATATGGTCGATATCAAGCATATATGTTATTTTAAATTGAAAGGGTTACATAAAAAGAATTAATTATTGAACCTACAGTGTAATTGAAAGAAAAAGAGATTAACCAGGTAAACGTCAAAATCAGTGACACTAAAAAAATCAGAAAGAAAAAACGAACGGAAATCCTATTTCGAAAGGGAGGGGTTAGAATAAATGAACTTCTTTCAGTACCAAATTTTCAACGCCATGATTTACCACTATTTTGAAAGGATGTGTTAAAACTTTTTCAATAGAGAGGTTCAAACATCTATGAAATGTAAGCACATATCTACATATACGCTCAGCAGAAAGCATGTTCATGTGAAAAAAAATAGAGGTACTGTGAGCAACTAGCTCACTAAATGATACCCCCACGCTGGCTTCCCATATGAATATAATGGCAGTGTCCATATTTTGCTATGAGGTACCCAAAATATTTGTCGGAAAAAATAGAATAGGAGGTATACAATTGCAATACGTAATAAAGATTCTGTGAAAGTTTCATCAAATTCCATTCAGGGGTATGAGAGACAGTAGTATGAGACAGACAGACAGATAGAGGGACGGATATACCGATTACTTTTCAAGCGGGGGGTGGGAATGTATAAAAGGGAAAATGGGAAAGCCTGTTTTTTCAAAGTCGATTGAAGTTAAAATAGGTTATCCTTTCAATTCTAAATTATGTGAAGTTATGGTGACATCAGAAAATGAATGAAAACTTGCATTTTAAAACTGATAAAGCATACTCAGCAAGAATCATATACAAATTCTAACAAAATGTGATTTCATGGAACTATAATTTATACACAGAGTAAAAAGTTATAAATAGAATGAATACTAATCACGACGAACGCTTTACGAGGTACACTAATTATAAATCAACTATGTAGGTATTTCTGTCAGTGTGATTAAAATGCAGATTTTCACTGATGCAAGTACAAAGAGTAACTTTGGTATTCGGTAAGACGGCATTAAACAAATCTTGCTCAGACATGGACATTTAATTTCAAGTTTTCACTTTTTTTACTTTGAGTTACATTGTACATGTATACGCTCATTTAATAAAACTAGAGATACTGTGAGCAATGAGCTCACTAAATGATACCCTCCGCCTCCTATATGAATATAATGACAGTGTCCATGTTTTGTTATGGAAAATCCAAAATATACGTCAGATCAAAAAGTAAAATAGAAGGTCACAATGACAACATGAAATAAAGATTCTGTAAAAGTTTCATTCGATATCCTTCAGTGATATGAGAGGAGTGCGGATAAGAGATGGGTACCCCAAAGCGTAACAGATGGACGGACGGACGGGCATACCGATTATTATATACCCTCCCACTTTTCAAACGGGGGGTATAATAAAGAGATTATAATGAAGAAAAAAACAATCTTATTGAGCAGCCTAGACACATAGTATACATATTGAGTAGCCAGTATTAAAGTGTATACCCCCATATATAATAACTTGAATGCGTAAAGATTCAATCGTACCGCTCACAAAGCAAAACAAACCGTATATACAAAACGAAACAACTGCGCATAAAATGAAACATATTGTCCACAAATTAGAACAAACCGTATCATACCGTGCAGGAGGTGTAGTAGCACGATTCTGTATAATGTCGAATACTATAGACGAATTCTTACATCGTTCAACTAGATATGCAATCTTTTCAACGGTCTTTATTGAAAGTCTCATTCAATATATGCTATCACTTTTTTATACTTTGAGGGATATATTGTTTTTATCTTGTCTCACTGTTTGGTTGTCTGTTTGTATGTTTTTCTATCTGTATTTTGTCAACTTTGACCTTGTCCATAACTATTGAGTGGGTTGGGCTTTGGTTTTCATGGTCCACAGGCGATTTCCTGTGAAAAGACCTTTCGAAAGGTACCACCAAATTTGACCTCGGTGTTTGAACTAGCTACTTTTTACAACACATCTTGTTCAGTGTGTTTTCTATACCAGGAGACAGAATCCCAAGATGTTGCTTTTAGGATTCTTTAATGCCATCTGTTAAACAATAAAATGCTTTCTTTGTTTGTTATTACTGGAATGAACGGAAGCAGCTGTTGCAGAAAAAATACATAACCCGCGTAATAACAAACAAAGAAAGACATTTTATTGTTTATATTTATATCTGTTTAAATAATAATTTAAAGTAGGATTAAAAAGATCAATTATTGTATTAATGATGCGAACGTCTTTATACGTTTCATTGATGGAATAGCCACTGATTACAGGCGACATGCCTACTGTAGTTTATGCAGTGATGAACGCAATGGGGTTTCTTAAGAAATAAAGGAGAAAATATTCAGTGGATGTAAATATTATTGTATATTTCCATTTATATTTTGTCCCTTGTAATCGTCATCGGCGTGGCGCAGTGGTTAGAGCGTCTGCTCTAGGGTCGCGAAGTAAGGAGTCAATTCTTACGTCGTTCAAATTACCGGTCCTTCGGATGAGACCGTATAAACCGAGGCCCCGTGTCGAAGTAGGTGCTGGCACGAAAACGATCCTTTACTGCTCAATGGCCGTGAGTGCCGAACATAGGAAAAAATTTGAAGCCCTCCATCGGCAAGTGGTGGCGTCTCCATATGAGTGAAAAATTCTTGAGAGGGACGTTAAACAACAATTAATCAATCAATCAATCTCTTGTAATCATTTAAAATGAAGCTGTAAAGATAAAGGCTTCACTGATCCCCAATACAATTGTTACTTCTTTGCCATTTCCGGTATGGAAGCTCGAAAAAAACCTTGCCGGAGGGGTCCGAAAAGATTATGGTATTGATTTTGTTTGTTTGTTTGTCGATAAGCGTCCCTCTCGAGATTTCTATCATTCTTCCGAGCATGCCGCCACTTTCCACACCAAAAATACAATAGTAAACTATAATTAACTATAATGCCAAGGTTACAACTTTAGAACTATGATTTACTATAGTTAAAACTTTTGAACTTTATTTAGTATGGTGAAAATTTTGGAACTTTGATTAACTAAAGTGAAAACTTTGATTTACTATAGTATAAACTTTGGAACTTTGATTAAGAATAGTATAAACGTTGGAATTTCGATTCAGTAATATAAAACCCTTGAA